ATGCTAAATCTCTAGTATATGTCTGATACTAACTGTTCGGTAGAGATGTTAAAGGAACATTATAGAGACAGGAATACAAACATGTACTCCTGTCACTGTAGCTTGAGAAAACACATGTTGGGCCCCTGTCAGCAATGCAATGGGTGATTTTACTCTGTAAAGGAAGTAAATAAGTATTTCAGATTCGATTTACTTGAATTAAAAACAAAATGAAAACAAAATACTTGTAACATCAAAGGTAAAGCTTCCTCCTCTCCCAAGATGAGTTTCAACAAGATGGCTTTTTCAATTAGTGCCAAATGAAAATGACCAAAATACCAATTGAAAAAGCCCTATTGGTGAGACCCGTCTTGGGAGAGGAGGACGCTTTACCTTTAATTATACAAGTATTTTATTTGTTTTAAATCAAATAAATCCCTATTTAAATGCTTACCCTTCCTCATATTTTCACCTGCATCCTGGTTCCACAGGATAGTGTTACCCTAGAAATTGACTCAAGGTCTGACAGCTGGGAAACAGTTATAAATGGGATCCAGAAAAGGTGAGCACACACCTCTATATACATGAATACTTTGACTGATATATATATATATATATATCAATCAATCAAAAATGGGATGTACTCACGGGTCTTCAAATTGGTGAAAAATGGTGCTTTATTGATACATAGGATGTATACAGAAACCGACCAACGTTTCAACCCTGCCAGGTCTTTTTCAAGATCACTGAATACAAATCATGCATGTGCTTTTATATGTGATATGAAAAATAACTTACCAATCAATGGTGTTAAAAGAAAATGATCATGGCAAATAGTGCCAGTTTAAAATAAGTAATAAACAAGAGTAGACTAGAAACCAGTGAATGTGAAAAAAATGTACTGTGTGCCAGAATAATGATCAAACCGTAAATCTTGTGCATAGTGACTAAGTGAAATGAACATGTAGAGTCTACTCAAAAAAGAGTCTAACGTACTTAGATAAATAATACATATATAACAAGGTTGCGGCTTGCGGCAATGAATCAATTTACATGTTACAATAATCGATCTAATGGTCAAAGCATGATGATACTATAAACAAATCAATACGCTGATCACAATAGAGAAGACATATCTCAAAGAAAATACAAGTAATATGTATAGTAGGCAAAAGATATAGATAATCCTAGTGTGAAAACAAGCGTTTGAATGCCATATACCGTAATAGAAATGGGACTTATGTGAGTATTGAACCAGATTGGACAGACAGGCTAGCAGGGAAATAGAATGTGTTAGACTACCAGTCAGCCAAGGAATATGTTCTACACCATCAAGTGGCTGGTTAAACCCGAAATGCCCCCTTGAATGTTTGGCCTTGTTAAATTGGCTTTTTAAATTGCAATTAGTGTCTGTGTATAAATAGTCAATGAGTCTGTTAGCTCTGAGCAGGAGGAGAAGAAAAGAACTATCAAAAGACCTGTGTAACAAGGTAATGGGACTTTATAAAGATGGGAAAGGATATAAAAAGATATCCAAAGCCTTGAAAATGCCACTCAGTACTTGTTTTCACACTAGGATTATCTATATCTTTTGCCTACAATACATATTACTTGTATTTTCTTTGATTTGTCTTCTCTAGTGATGTCCCGAACGGTTCGTCGCGGACTCTTCATTGAGTAAACTTTGACCCTGTACCTCACAGTCAGCAGACACATTCCAGCCAATCAGCAGCAGACCCTCCCTCCCAGACCCTCCCACCTCCTGGACAGCATCCATTTTACATTCATTGTGAAGCTGCATTCCTAGTGAGCTGTCCCGGAGATGGGAGGGTCTGCTGCTGATTGGCTGGAATGTGTCTGCTGATTGTGAGGTACAGGGTCAAAGTTTACTCAATGATGAGTCCGCGGCAAACTGTTCGGGACATCACTAGTCTAATCTATTGTGATCAGCGGATTTATTTGTTTATAGTTTATAGAAATAATTTCCCATATTTTAACACGTTTTAGTACTTTATTTGTATTCAAAAATAATTTATATTGTATTTTGTGCATTTGTTTGTTTTTTTTCTTTTTTAAATTTAAGAAAAAATCACTTATTAAGAAGTGGAAAATTCAGGGATCTCTTGTCACCAAGCCAAGATCAGGTATACCAAGAAGGATTGTTCGGGATACATAGAAAAACCCACAGGTAACCTCAGGAAATACAGGCTGCTCTGGAAAAAGATGGTGTGGTTGTTTCAAGGAGCACAATACGACGATACTTGAACAAAAATTAACTGCATGGTCAAGTTGCCAGAAATAAACTTTTAATGCGCCAATGCCACAAAAAAAGCCCGGTTACAATATGCCTGACAACACCTTGACACACCTCAGCTTCTGGCACACTGTAATTTGGAGTGACAAAACCAAAATAGAGCTTTATGGTCACAACCATAAGCACTATGTTTGGTGAGGGGTCAACAAGGCCTATAGTGAAAAGAATACCAGCCCGACTGTGAAGCATGGTGGTGGCTCACTGATGTTTGGGGGGGGGGGAGCTCTAAAGGCATGTGAAAATTGATGGAATGATGAATGCAGCATGTCTGGGAGACAATTGCATTCTTCTGCATAAAGGATGCGCATGGGATGCTCTTGGGCTTTCCAGCATAATGATTCTAAGCACAAGGCCAAGTTGACCCTCCAGTGGTTACAGCAGAAAAAGGTGAATGTTCTGGAGAGGCCATTACAGTCTCCTGAACTTTTAATATCTTTTGAGCCACTCTGGGGAGATCTCAAATGTGCAGTTCATGCAAGATGACCAAAGGATTTTGCAAGACCTGGAGTCATTTTGCCAAGACGAATGGGCAGCTATGCCAACTGCAAAAATAAGAGACCTCATAGACAACTATTACAAAAGAATGCATACTGTTATTCATGCTAAAGGGGGCAATACACAGTATTAAGAACTAAGGCTATGCAGACTTTTGAACAGGGGTTATTTCATTTGTTTCTTTGTTGCCATGTTTTGTTTTATGATTGTGCCATTCTGTTATAACCTACAGTTGAATATGAATCCCATAAAACATAAAAGAAATGTGCTTTGCCTACTCACTTATTTAAAATGGTACATATATTACCAATTCGCCAAGGGTATGCCAACCTTTGAGCAAATCTGTATGTATGGTTTTAACCTCCCTCATGTTTGAGGGATAAGTGCATATGTATATTCACTAGCTTCAGACTAACACTTTTAAGTTTAAATGGTGGGGAACATCACCCTAACATTTGGGTCTATTTTTTTTATTTATTTTGTTTGCATTAGTGGAATTTTGGGGGCATTCACCGAGTATTTATAACTGCTTTTCATTAATTCATCACTAAGCACCTTCTACTACACACTTGTTACACAATTCTCTGTAATAAGTGCCTTAGTGGGGAACAGAGCTCTGATGCATATTATTGGACATAGGAGGATTTAACAAGAAAAACAAAACATATATATACTTATGATGGACTCAAACGAGTTGTAGTATAAGATATAAGCCTAAAGCTGCTGCATCAGTTGCACCTACAATAATCCAGCCCTTCAAGCAACTCGGTGAAGTAAATCCTTGCTACACCTGCCATAGACTAGTTATTGTTGTGGAAATAAGGTCTACACATATTTCCTAGTTAAAGGAAAATGTCTATTTACTCATCTCACACTATGCTATAGAGTTAAGCACACATGTTTAATCAAAATGGCTGCTAGAAGCTTCTAACCCCTTCCTCCCCCTGCCCCTTTAAACACCGACTAACTACCTCGTGCAGCAAGATGGCGCTGGAATCCTGGGGGAGAACTCCATGACGACAGTAATGACATAAGAAGGCACACCCTGTAGGACGTGCTTTGAATAAGACACTTAACACTTAACCAATTATTGATGTATTATTTCATGTTATCTCTGACAATGCTTATGATGTAATTTTGCTTTAAAAGGGACCTGCCGTCCCCTCTGAATAAACTTTCCTCAAGTTATTCAACAACCTGGAACCTGTGTCTGGTGTGAATTACTTCAGGGAGCGTGCACGCATTGTTTCATTGATTTGGCCAGGGGCAGATACACAAAGAAATAATCAATACTTTTAATTGATTTTTCCATTTCAATTGGCGCCCAACGTGGGGCCCCCGGATTTGCCGGTTCGGAGGGCCGGATACCAAGGACCAGAGCGGACCCCCAGAAAATGGGACAAGCGGAGCCTGATCACCTCCATAATACAGCCGTTGCCTGTGTTATTCTCCTGTTTTGTGTCGGTCTGTCTCCGAGTCCACTTCCGGCTTCCAGAAGGCTACTAGAGACAGGTATTTAGCTCATCCGGGGTACCTTTTTAAAGTGAACCTGTCGATTGTCTATCTGCCTCCTGTATTTGTTTGAATGTGTGTGACGGCCGGAGTGTGTGTTTTCCCCCTTTTTAAAAGACAATAGCTTGACTGCCTAGCGGGCAGGGAACGCATTACAGCCGGTGGGGCTGGGTTTTATATGTTAGCTTGACTGCCTAGCGGGCAGGGAACGCATTACAGCCGGTGGGGCTGGGTTTTATATGTTAGCTTGACTGCCTAGCGGGCAGGGAACGCATTTTATATGTTAGCTTGACTGCCTAGCGGGCAGGGAACGCATTTTATATGTTAGCTTGACTGCCTAGCGGGCAGGGAACGCATTACAGCCGGTGGGGCTGGGTTTATGTTAGCTTGACTGCCTAGCGGGCAGGGAACGCATTACAGCCGGTGGGGCTGGGTTTTATATGTTAGCTTGACTGCCTAGCGGGCAGGGAACGCATTACAGCCGGTGGGGCTGGGTTTTATATGTTAGCTTGACTGCCTAGCGGGCAGGGAACGCATTACAGCCGGTGGGGCTGGGATTTTGTTTGATTACTGCAGAGTTTCATTGGTACTTGTGTTATAACGGGGCCAGCCTGGTGGGGGAGGGCTGGGGATTGCTACATTTTAAATATTTGGTACTAGTGGTGTTAACATGTACATGGCCATTTTACTCTCTGTCATTCTGTGGTTTTTTGTTTAATTGTTGTTACAGTGTGGGTACCCTTGGTGTGTGTGTGTGTGTGTATGTATATAGTGTGGCTAGTTCTGGATTCTGGGGTTTACACTCATCTCTATGTTTGTGATTTTTGCAAATGTCTTCTTGTTGGTGTAACCACTTTCATCTTTTCATTTGTCCTTTATCTCTCCTGTGTTTGTTGCCCAGAGCTGTGTTAGTCACCCACGCTCGCCCTCTCCGGTCTGTGGCCACCTCCCCCGGGTGCACAGACCATCGTGACTAGTCAGTCGAGCACTGTAGACTTTCCTACTTCTTCTTCCCTCTCACTTGGTCTCCTTTACTTGGCAGACCTCGCTTGGTCAAAAAGGGGCAAGCACATACTAGACCAGCTAAGGGGTATTTGGCTTGTGATATTGTTAAAGAGAGGGCAGGGGAAGAAGCTATGCTGAAAATGAAAAAGTTAGCAAAGATTTCTGGTTTCCAAACGTATAAATCTCTGTCCTTCTGTCTTGTTACTTTACGGAGCTCACATGGTTAATCTTCATGCCTGCAGTTTCTCTCTCTCCCCTTTTTGCACTGTCACACTTTCTCCCACCCCTACTCCCCGCTTGCCTACATTTCTGCATTTCGGAGCTACTGATAAGAGTTAGAGAGAAAATATTTTAATTGTGTAGTATTGTGTACATTGTTCCATACATAGACGTTGTCAGGCAGGTTATGGAGCTATAATTGTGTAATATTATTATTATTGTTGCCATTTGCATGGCGCCAACAGATTCCGTAGTGCTATATATATATTTTAAATTAATTTTTGAGATAAGGTACTGAGGATTGTGGGAGTGACGATCACAAGATTGCATTCAGTGTTGAATACGGGATTTAGGAAGGTGTAGCTTGTAGCTTGTTAAGGGGAATATGCGATGTTGTTATGTCTGTATAAGAGGAGGAAAGTGATTAATGGTTAGAGGATGTTAAGGGAAATTGGTTGAATTCCGTGAGTTTATCTTGCTTCATGTTAAAGTACATTTTTCAATGGATAGCTTTATGGGCTGTTAAATGCATAATGTTCTCAACTGTCTTATTTAACCTGCCAGGTCTGTTCATAGTTTAATATTTCATTTTGCAGAACGGAATGTTGCTTCTCTGACTTATTTTATTAGTTATAATATGGTGTATTGTTGAAAGTACGTCAGCCACCACCCTAAAGATGGCGCCTAGTACAGAAGGAGGTTGACCCTGCCAGTCCCGTGACCTATCTACAGTCACGGTTGCTTCTAAAGTAACGTCACTTCCGCCCTTACCATGCCCACACCTCCTGTCTTCCTTTCCCACACCTATCATGGACATCACCTCACTTCCTCCCTTGCTGTCATTTCCTTCCCCGCCCCTGTCATGGCTGCCTCCATCATGAGGCCTACCCCTATCATGCTCGTCCTATTTAGAGACATTACACTCTACATATTATGAACTGAAACGTTATATTAACTAAAACAATCATGCCATTTGTTTCCCTGTATCAGAGATGTGTCCGTGATATTTAAAAAAAAAAAAAAAGAGGTTGCTAAAGAGTCATTTGCACCTGTGGTGTGACCTACAAATGAGTTCTGTAGGGCACGAATATAAGAGCATTACAGCTAATTATCCTGATGATTATTCATTAATGCCTGTGTCTTGCAACAAGGGATATTGCAAAATAATGCAAGTTATTTTAAACATTGTATCTTTACTTAATAGAATCTTGCTAGTTAAAAATCGTATGTTTACAGTAACATCCTTTACGTTAAATGACATTCCTCGCCTCCCTGTCCCCCGCCACCTTTACCTATGCTTGCCTCTCGTCCCCTCTCCACCTCGACTGACCCCTCCCCAGTGTTACCCACTCACCCGTCTCCATCCGCTGCCCCGCTCTCTGCCCTCTCGACCTTACTCACCCCACCGCCCCAGATCCTCCAGACCCTTGTCCTCCCGCTGATCCCGCTTCCCTTATGCCTCCGGACCTCCCTTCTACCTCGTTGTCCCCTCCCGACTGATTTGCCATCCCTAATCTCTGCCCTCACTGCCCTGACCCAGCCCCCCGTTCCCACCCCTCCAACCCCTTCTCCAGTGTTACCTCCTCCTCCCGAAGTCCCGGCCCCCTCTACCTCGTTGCCTCCTCCTCCCTCGGCCGATTTGCCGTCCCTAATCTCTGCCCTCACCGCCCTGACCCAACCCCCCGTTACCACTCCTCCAACCCCTTCTCCAGTGTTACCTCCTCCTCCCGAAGTCCCGGCCCCCTCTACCTCGTTGCCTCCTCCTCCCTCGGCCGATTTGCCGTCCCTAATCTCTGCCCTCACCGCCCTGACCCAACCCCCCGTTACCACTCCTCCAACCCCTTCTCCAGTGTTACCTCCTCCTCCCGAAGTCCCGGCCCCCTCTACCTCGTTGCCTCCTCCCCCCTCGGCTGATTTGCCGTCCCTAATCTCTGCCCTTACCGCCCTGACCCAGCCCCCCGTTCCCACCCCTCCAACCCCTTCTCCAGTGGTACCCCCTCCCGATATCCCGGTCCCCTCTACTTCGTTGCCTCCTCCCCTCCCGACTGATTTGCCGTCCCAACCCTCTACCCACGCTGTTGCGACCCAGCCCCCTGTTCCCATCCCTCCGACCCCTCCCCCGGTGACCCCTGACTCAACCATGGCCAATGACCTGTCTAGCTCGATATCCGCCCTCTTCTCTGCTGTTACCTCCCTGGTTAATTCCGCGATTCCTGCCCCGCCTCCCACTGATTTACCACCTCCTCCCTCTGATCCTCCAACCCCTTCTCCGCCCCCGGCTAACGTCCCCGAGCCTTCCGATCCAATCTCTGCCCTTGCTCACGTCCTTAATACTCACCTATCCCGCCCATCCCAGCCGGCCCCCTGCTTTAGAGGCCCGTGCATACCCTCCAGCTCATGCTGATGGGTTTGACACGGGTGGTTTCCGAGATATTCAGCCCCTACCTCGACAAAGCCGCCTTGCCCGTGCTCCTATGCAGTCCAGCCACCCTCCCACTTCTACCCACCGGTACCAAGGACCCGACCAGGCCCATTTAGATTTACTGCAATAGGTTACCGGCAAGCCTGTGTCAGCAACCCCTGCCATGACCCCTCCTTTTTGTCAGACACCGATGTCTCCTGTGTTGGGGTGGATGGTACACCCCGCAGTAGCCCCCTCACTACACTCCTGCATGTTGGTTCATACATACTCTCACGTTTTGTTGTTTCTTCTACTTGTCCCATTAACCTCTTGGGTGCTGATGTTCTTTCTCAGCTCCAGGGTCCAGTTAACTACACCCTTATCACAGACAGACACCACTGTACTCTGCTCACTCCCCATCTTGTTGAACCTAACTGACAATACAGGGAGTGCACGGGTCACACCCCCCCCCAGTGCTCTGGATCGTATCCCCCAAGAACTTTGGTCCACCGGCCCGGATGATATTGGACGCTTACGTGTACCCCCCGTCCTGGTCCAGCTCCTGCCTGGAGCACTTCCTCCTCGTAGACCTCAGTATCCTCTGAAGCCAGCACAAGCTGAAGCCATCACCAAACAAGTTGAGTCTCTGCTTGCCAAAGGTGCCCTCACCAAGTGCACATCTCCATGCAACACCCCACTTTTCCCTGTTAAAAAGTGAACTGTTAAGGGCCAACCCGACCAGTACCGCATGGTACAGGA